CAGAATAAGGAAATGCTGGCTTATCTGGGCATACACAGAACTGGGCAGCAATACCAAGATCAAATCAAGCACCTCTAACAGGTGTATAGAAGACAAGGGACACCAAACAGATCCAGTAATGCTCAGCAATCTGCTCCATGGATATTCAGGGATTATTCTCCCAAGACCTGTTTGCCAGCAAAGCCACAGGTGCCAAAGAGGAAGAAGCAGAGAAACCAGTCTCACGCCAGTAAGTGCTGCCCTATTTGCTATAAATTTAAGGGAATCTTGCTGGGAAAGGGTGTGATTTCCTGGTGAATGACCAGGGAATTCACAGTTACAGGGACAGGAACAGGATGAGGGTGGGGAGGGGATTGGTGTGATCAAATTCAGTTAGGGGTTGAAGCAATGGACACTTTGCTCAGTGTCTTCTCTCCTTCTCTGCCTTTCAATTCATTCTGTATTTCCCTGGCCCCACAACTGTACCCCAGTGTGCCATAGTGGTGACCATCATGTACACACAGCACTGTTTTATCAATTCTAATTACAATTACATGGTGTCAGTGGCTGCTACATTAAATGTTTTTTTTCTAACGCGGTGTTATGATCCATAAAAAACACAACTTTCATGGATTACAGTTCTAGACTCATATAAAAATGTGACTGCCTGTGAACTATACAGTCCCTTCAATGAACAAAAATCTGTCATTGTTAATGTTACCAGAAATCAGTTTAATCCCTGCAGGTCTCTTTCCATGGAAGCTACCCTCAGGGAGGGGACAGCTGCTGCTTTTTGGCAAAGGTCCTACTGAGCATTCAGCATTTCTGTGGATGTAAGTCACTGATTCCCTTAATAGAAAGAAGTTGGACTTGTTCAGTTTTTTGCCCTCCCAACTGTCCTCCCTCTCCCGTGATTTTTCTGGGGTGACTGGGGTGGGGAAGGGAATTGAGAAGGAGTACAGCTATCAGTCTCATGGTACTTTCTCCAGCAACTTATCAATGTATCCCAGGTCTTTGTTCATTCCTGGGAGTTAATGCTTGCAAATCTGCCACACAGCAGAAACTCTGGTAAGTCATTTGGGTCACTTAGCAGGTTTTCTGCTTGTCCATGTAAGTTGTCTCCTCCTTTTGCTGTGCTGTCATGTTCTTAGAGCGCTTCTTCATAAGGTTGAAGAAACCCCTCCACTGGGTAAAAATGCCACTTCTCTTCTATTGAGGAATTTACAAAATGTTTATATCTTCATTGAACAGTAACAGGAAACCCAAGGTAGTAAAACAGGAATTCCATTCCAAAATGTGTACCATGGACAGTAAATCTGATACCCAATTCACGTTAGGGAACTTTTTTAATATATGTTTTAAAAATAATCTTCCACTGATAAAATTAAGATTTCTCTTGCTAAGATTTCACCCATAGACTCAGCTTGCAAATGATCAGTAGCTAGGGGTGAGTGGGGCATCAGCCCCAGGCACCAATTTAGACAGGGTGCCAGAATGGTGGTCCCCAGGGAGCCTGCTCTGTGACTGCAGCATGTGGAGTATGCCAGTCCAGCGTTAAGCACTCCTTACCCTTCCTGCAAAGAGAAAAACTGGGAGAAACTGATGGAAAGAGAGACTATAGAAAGCAAGTGAGTATGACAAATTCTGCATGATACTGAACAGGTGCAAGGCCATTTTGAGCAGGCCCTTGTGCACAACTCTGTACAGGGCCAGGATCTGGTTATGGGCCTGACACAACTGTTGTACAACCCCACAACATATAGACAAGAAGAAAAGAAAAAATGGCCACTGCAAGCAGCAAATATCACCACACTATGGCTGTTGGATTTGTTATTGTTGTTGTCTTAGCTTTAAGCATGCACTTTGGTTTTCCAAATTGCACCTTATTCAATAGCTAAAGCAGAACACGTTTTTTTTGAGCGGTTAGCAGGTCCAGCTGTATTGTTCCCAAGTCTTTTCTTCTAAGTTTCTGTCAGCTTAATAAAACGCTGTCTGGGTTCAAGTACTTGTTGTCCACTCAACTATAAGAAAACAGAAAGCTGCAGCTATTCCAAAAAGGCTTGATGGAAGTGTAAATTAACAGGCTCCATGTCACCAGACAAACAAACACAGAGAAGCACACTTGTGCAATTATTCAATTCAGCAAACAAACAGACCTTCATCTAGTCCAAACCGTAAAGTTAATAAGGAACACCATACCCCACATAGGTTCTCAGTCCCCTGTGAAACAAAGCACTTCAAAGCAAAACAAGCATTTCAAATCTCTCATCAAATACCTCAGTCTGGTTCATGTTATTTTGCTAGACACAAAATGGCACATTCATTAGGAATCAGTAACTTATTAAAACTGCTATATGTGTTATGGACATAAGCACACATGGCATCCCTAAATTTCCTTGCTGTTACATTGCTTATGGAAGTATTTTCTGATTGTGCAAATCAGCTAACAAGTCCATCAGTGTGCAGGGTCCACTCTGAATAAAAATACTTGTCTCTTTCTTCACAGATATGCATGCACCATGCAGCACCATCTTGCCTTCCACCTTTCTGCACTCTATCACCTTTCTGCAAATGCTTACAGCATGACTGAAGTGTCTCTGCATTCACATGTTTCTCTTATTCAGCTATGGCAAGAAAGAATAGTTAGGGCCCTCCATAATCATAGGGAGAACCTGTATTCCATTGATGGCCATGTTACTGGGATAAAATAATGTCCCAGGTTACAAATGCCAGAACCCTGACATCATGCCCTTTGACAATTCCTCACTCACTGCTGTTCATGAACCTGTCTCTGTGGTCCTTCAAGGCTGGCTGAACCAGAAAGAATCCTCCTTGCAAGTACCATATGCACTAGCCTTTCAGTTGGTTAATCAATAGGCCCCACTAATGTGCATCATTAACAGCCTCCATGAAATTTGGAAACCCCAGTCACTGAAAGCCAGAAAGAATATCAGGCATGTGCTTGATGCTGACAACCCCACAATTCAACAAGTTCCAGAATGGGATTGTATACCTTTACCACCAGCTGCCCCGCAAGTGACTTGTCACCATCATATTGGTTAGCCAAGGGCCTGTGGCAATCAGAGTAGGCCATTTTCAAATGATGATAACAAGCTGCTCCTCTGTTGCTATAGGCTCAATCAATCATCTCTGGTGTCAGAGAGTTGGGCAAGCTCCTGACATAGGTTGCAAATGCGTGCTTTCTCATGTGGAAGTTCTGGAGCTACTGCTGGGCATTCCATGTTTGCAAAACGATATGATCCCATCATCCCATGCTTGCTGTCCTGCTTCAGTCAAATCTGTGTACACAAGATTGACAGGGATAGGAAGGCAAATCTCAGCATCCTTGGAACATTCCTCACTTCAGGCTATGGTTTGCAGGAAGAAAATTGATCACACAGATTATTTCAGAAACTGGAGCTTGAAATCATAGAACCATAATGTTCTCTGTCAGTCAGTGAAGTCACTATGATAGGAAAACCCAGTACTAAACCACAGGACGGTAGCAATGGCAGTAAAACATCTTGATAATTTTAATGCTTCCAAGCACAGAAACACGGGACCATTGAATCCCGTCCCTTGTAATTGCAGGCAACTATTTACTAGAAGGCTCCCCCAAATTCTCCCTCCTACACCACAGCCACAAGACAACCTATGAAAATTTTTAAAAATTACCTACCACATGCCACAGGTAAAGAAAAGGAGATGACAGCAATGCCTGTCCATTATTTTGGACTCCTATCCAGTACTGATTAGCATACCTAAACTACCTGGCCAGTGCCTTTTTCTGGCTAAGGACATCTAGCACAACAGCATGACTAACATCACATTTAGAACTTTAATTTCAAAAAAACAAAACTGTCATTTAAATACTGTCATTTACCTAGTTAGAGAGTAAAGGATAAATCTAAATGCAGATGTGCAGGAGGGACAATTCATGGTGTCTAAGATTATAAAAGCTGAACCAAGCTGAGGATGCAAAAAGGAAGGTAGATGAAAGGGCCAAAGGAGCCTGAACACAGTGTAGCAAACCCTTAGGGCCTTATTTTTCACTGGGCACATCTACACGTAACACTATGTCACCCTAGCAATGCACTAGGGTGACGTAGTGTCCGCGGGCAAAAACTGTGATGCCACAGCTACGTTGCCATAGCAATGCGCTCCCTCATTATAGCATGATGCTACAGGGATGTGGTGCCTAAAAATAACCGTGTGCAGCGTGCAGTATGGGCTGTTACTATGCTGTCTTTTAGTATTTCCAAAAGGAAGTACTAAATGATGGCGCAGTAACTACGGCGCCATGGCGGCACGTGTAGACTTGCCCACTCAGTCCTAATGCAAACAAGTTGCTGGTGCAATCAAATGGAGGCTGCTGGCATTTTGACTACATGAGAGCTGAGGATATGGTCCTTCAGGATACTAAGTGTTTCTGTTAAATTCTGAGCCTTCTCTACTCCTATTGAAACCAACACCCTTAAATGAGCTTGGGGAAGGAGTTTGGACTTTATCCTCTGGGCGGACACTGGTCATGGAGTAGAGAACCCCAGGGGCTGCCAGGTCCTTGTCTTGTGAGATGTGGGCATGTGCAGCAGGCAGGTATGTGGAAACAGAGAGATGATTTCACATTCTTGCTAAAATCCTGTGGGTACTTTCATAGGGAGTACTGAGAATGCCTGACTCCCTGAGAAATGGTATTGTGAGGTTGCTTTACCTGGCAGTGGAAACAATAAAAATAGGGACTGAACCACATGGGAGAGTGAGACCAACAGCTAAACCTTGGGGAGAGATTATAACATCTAATTAATGCAAAATAGGCTCTTTTATTGATTTTTGACCACAACTAATCTAAACTGAAGAGTTGTGTTTTCACATTTCAGATGATCCTTTGGGAGGATTGGCATTTCTCAGTTAAACCACAATTCGGTCTTAAACATAAGATTTATTTCTTTAGGGGTCAATTGTGCCTGTAGACATGACCTCATGTTGGGAATAATGCTGAAGGCATGCCCTGCTGGATCTTGTGGTTACATTGCTGCGTCTTCTGACAAAAGGGTTGTATTATATTAGCAACAAACTGGTATCTCATCTTCTGAAAATCATCAGAATAGCAGTAATGACTCAATCAAAGAAAGGAACATCCCCCTCCCTAACATACTTGAACAAAAGTATCCAATACTATCGTGATAATGGACAGTGAACCCACACCAGACAGCAGAAACTGAAAGCATATCACAAATGAGTATTTTAAAT